ATCTCAGACAGCAGGTACCTTCGATATTCTAAATAAGGATTTATAGACGCAGTCAGTTTAAGGCCTGCTGCCAAGCAGGTGACTGAGATAGAGACCCCTGGGAGCTGTCCCATCCCAGCTGCTCCTAGGTTACTGCCAGCCCTACCCTACCTGCCGGGGAAGGGTGGGTGCTTTTGGAGTTCTGTTCCGCAGTGACCTGAGGTCTGTATTTGACGCTATGTCTGAGTGATCTCCGGGCTGGTTTTTGTTAGAGATGGTTCTTTTTCTTTTTTAAAGTATTTATTTGTTTGTTTGTTTATTTATTATGTATACAATATTCTGTCTGTATGCCTGAAGGCCAGAAGAGGGCGCCAGACCTCTTTACAGATGGTTGTGAGCCACCATGTGGTTGCTGGGAATTGAACTCAGGACCTTTGGAAGAGCAGGCAATGCTCTTAACCACTGAGCCATCTCTCCAGCCCCTAGAGATGGTTCTTAATACATTTTATTACATTTGCTTATTTAGTTGGTTAGAGTGTGTGTATGTTGTGTGTGTGAGTGTGTGTGTGAGGCAATTGGGCTAAGACTTATCACTACAGCTTAGCTATACATGACCACACCTCTATTTACATAAATGCTCAATTGCTTAAGCAATAGTTACATTCCTGTGGCAAGGACCAGACATGGAAGAGAGGTCCAGCTCCTGCTTGAAAATGAGTAAAAGACTAAAGTCCTTTCACGGGAAAAATCTGCCCTTTCCCAAGGAAGGACCCAGCAAGACTGACTGCAGAGGCAACCCTGGTGTCAAGGAGTCTTTGGGCCACAAGCTGCACACGGCAATACTGGGGAGGCCGAGAGGCAGGCAGATCTCTGTGAGTTCAAGTCCAGCCTGGTTTTCATAGTGACTCCCTATCTCTCAAAAACAAACCAACAAAAAACAAAACCCCACATGGTGTGGCTTGCCTGTAACCTTAGTGCTGGGGAGTTAGAAGCAGGAAGATCAGAAATTCAAAAGTCAGGGCTGGAAAAAATCAGGTTAAAAACACTGCCACCCTTCCAGAGGCCCTGGGTTTGATTATCAGCATCCACATGGTGGCTCACAATTGTCACTTTGGTTCTAGAGGATCTGATGTCTGCCTCTGGCCTCCAAGGGCACCAGGCACACATGTGGTACACAGACATATATATAGGCCAAACACCCTCACAAAAGAATAAAACTTTTTAAAAAGTTATATAAATAAAAGCCTATTTATATATTAAAAAATAATTCAAAGTCATTCTTATTAACTAGGGCTTTATGAGAATCTTCCTTAAAAAGAGAAAAAGGGTGTGTGTGGTGGGGGAGGATACTGTTTAAAATGTAAAATCTAGGCTTGTGCCAGACTCCAGTTCATAAAGTTTGTATCTTTAAACCTTATCTTCTAAGCCCTTACTTATTTCATACCTGAGTTGCTTAATAGTAGAAACCAAGTCCTGTTCCTGAAAAGAGCAGGGCACCCTAAAGAACAGAGCACCCTAAAGATCATGCTACCTGCCGGGGCAAACCCTGGAGAGTATACTAACTCAGAGCTGAACACCCCATCTTCATCCCCTTTATTTTTTGAGGTTCCACTGTATTCTGGCTGGTCTAGAACTTGCTATGTAGCCCAGGTTAGCCTTCTATTTGTAGTGGTCTTAATGTCTCAGCCCCTCATGGGCAGGATTACAGACAAGAACCATTCTGCCCCTTTCTGGCCCCTTCCTCCCTGTTCATAGTTCCTCTAATTGGGACGCTCTTAGGAAGTGGGGATCCTCTCTCTAAGACCGAGTGACTCTGTACCCAGAGTGATGGCGTGAAGCCAACAGCTGTTTCTGTCTGACCTGGTATTTCATGGAGGCAGGCAGCCAGCACAAACCTTCCCAACAATTCTCAATTGCTGTGTCGCAGGCCAAGTTCTACTCCCTCCCAGAGCCGGATCGGACCAAGAATACAGCCAAGTACATCAGAATGAAGATGCTTCAGGCTAGCCGCCAAGCCTCCCTGAAGGGCCAGAAAGGTTGGCTTCATGATCCTTGCTCGGTCTAGTGTGGCAGAGTTGGGCCACTTCTGCCTGCAACTGACAAGCTGGGGAAAGGGCTGTCCTCTGTGGAGTTGGAGAGGATGGGGAAGTAACCTGGAGTAGGTGTCTGAGGCTAGCACCAGGGGACAGAAGCAGGAGAAGCAGGAGTTCAAGATCATCCTCATTTAGGACAAGGCCAACCTGGGCTAAGTGAGACCCAGTCTCAAATCAACAACAAAATGTGCTCAGTGGGTGCCTGCCCGGTAGCAGAGCCAGCAAGTTAGCTGACATTTCTCCGGAGTGACCTTGATATTGTAAGTGCTGTGCTGTGGTAATCCCCTCTGTATGCTATGAATATTTTATTTCCATTGGTTAATGGAAGCTGCTTTGGCCTATGGTAGAGCAGAATATAGCCAGGCTGGAAGAGATAGAGTAGGCAGAGGCGCCATGTTGTTGCCGAAGGAGAAAGATGCCACCGGAACCTTACCGGTAGACCATAGTCTCCTGGTGATACATTGATCAATAGAAGTGGGTTAATTTAAGATGTAAGAGCTAGCTGGAAATAGGCCTAAACTGTTGGCCAAACTGTTGTAATTAATACAGTTTCTGTGTGATTATTTGGGTCTGGGAAGCCAGGGACGAACAAGCAGCCTCCACTTATAGGGGTGAAGCCAAGCTGAAGGTCTATATGAAGCCTTGATGAGGATGTCTAAGAGTCCCATTTAATGTGACACAGAAGTGCATGGGGGCAGCAGGTCAACAAGCTTGCCACGCAAGCCTGACGGCCTGTGCTGAGTCCCCAGATCTACGGAAGAAAAGAACTCCCAAAAGTTACCCTCTGAATTGTGCAGGAACCCTCGCTTTCTCTCACAAGCACACTTGTGGCGGCCATTGCAGTTACAGGTAGGTGGGTTTTGTGAGTATGAGGTCAGCTCTGTCTACATAGTGAGTAGTAAGACAAAGTTACATAGAGAAGCCCTGCCTCAAAAAACTAAAAATTTAAATAGTCAGCAGGCACAGCTCTTTAAACCTAGCACTCTGGAAGCGGAGGCTGGAAGATCTCTGAGTTTAAGGCCAGCCTGGTCTACTTAACAAGTCCCAACCACCCAGGGTTGCAGAGTAAGACCCTGCTACAAGAGCTAGTTCCAGGACAGGCTCCAAAAGCTACAGAGAAACCCTGTCTTGAAAAGCAAAACAAAACAAACAATAAAAAAAAAATTAGAGGCTGAAGGGATGGCTCATTAGTTAGGAGTACTTGGCTCTTGTAGAGGACCTGAGTTGAGTTCCCAGCACCCATACGGTGGCTCTCAACCATCTGTAACTTCAGTTCCAGGAAATCCCATGACCTCTTCTGACCTCCGCAGGCAACAGACACGTATTTAGTGCACTTACATATTTGCAGGCAAAACACTCAGACACATAAAAATAAAACTATAAAAAAAATCACAATAAAAATTAAAAGTATGACTTTGAATTTTTGATTCCCCTGCCTGCCCCCCACCCCATCCAAAGGGCTGGATTCCGGGCAAGTGCTACCACAACCCTAACACACTTGGAGTCTGGTTGGGAGTGAAGCTGCTTCTTGGAGGTAGGAGAAGAGAGGCCTTGGCGCTTGATCAAGCAAGGGCAGAGTGGATGTATTTTAGCAACAGTATTCTGTTTATGTTAAATGAGAGTGGTGTGGTGCAGGGAGTTTCCTCTGTGGTAGAGTGGTCACTAGCACTCAGGAGGCACTAGGTTCAATCTCCAGCATAATCAACAACAAAACTTCCCCCTGGGCACGCTAGAGTTTGCGCTCGTCTTTAATGACAGCCCTCAGGTGTCTGTGGATTGAGGCCAGCTTGGTTCACACAGCAAGTCTCAGGCCAGAGCTGCAATAAGACCCTATCTCAAAAGAAAAAAAAAAGTTTTCAGACATTCATTATTTAGCATATGCCAGGCACCAGGTAAAGAACTGGGGGAGAGTGGAAACAGATAAGTAAAAGGTGGGGCCAACGCAAGGGCAGAGGTCAGCAATGGGAGCCTCGGAGAGGCCACCCGCCCAGCCTCAATGGAAAAGGACAGCCAGGTAAGGTTTCTTCCAAAACTGCTTTCTGAGCCAAGTCTTCAAAGAGTGTGACTAAGACCAATCAAATGGTCCCTACGACTCCTGCACTGTACAGCTTCTAGAAGCAGGAGCCGTGGTGTGAGTCAGACCACAGGAAAACACATGGGGACAGGAGCTAGGAAACGTTCCACCTTCCTCCCTGGGCCGCAGGAAAAGTCTGGAACACACCAGCACTATGTTCTGACTCCTTGTCACCAAGCCCCCAACTTCTGTGTCAAGTATCACCGAGTTATCGAAACTACTGGAAGAGCTTGAAAGCATCAAGCGCTTTATTTGAAGTCAAATCCAGCCCAGTGGAGAAAGAAGCTCTGCAAACACCTTCCCCCAGGACCTTCATGTCCCAGCAACGAGGCCACGGGGGACCTGGACCCCCTCCCTGAAGTTAGCATGACCAGGAACCAGTTGCTAGAGGAGGTGAGAGCCATATCTTGAAGGACAGCGCCTGCCCCAGGTAGTAAGAACCCTTTTCCACCTCTTGTGCCTCCAAACTGCAGTAAGAACGACTGAGCCCTCCTCCAATTCCACCACAGGGTGATCGGTCTGGAACGGAGAACGCCCTTAGGGTGTTTTGCTAAATCCACGGGCGTGGCAAGCAGGTGGCCAGTAGCCGCACAGTTACTAGGGCGCAGACAGGTGCCCGCAGGCACGGTACGCGCTGCCACCCTAGCCACCCGTGCCAGGCACCTCGTGCGCTAGTGCCTTGGTGTCCTCTGGGCGTGCAGTGCCCAACCGGGACATGCGATCGCAGGCCCGCCTCTCTGCCTGCCCGAGGAGCCCTGGTGTCTGTACTGAAGCAGCGGGCTAGCAGCCCTGGCCAGCCCGGAACCGGGGCTTCCTGGAGGCGGAGCCCGCGCCGCCCACCCGCCGCTGCTCACCAGTTCCCTGAGCCCACGATGCACACTTTCAGAGGCGCCGCTGCCATGGCCAAGCCGGATCGCTGCTGCACACTCTGCTTTCCAGGGCCCAGCCGGGTCGTTGCAGCAAGCCGGATCGCTGCTTGCACGCGCAGTGCCTCCCAGGCCAACTGCTTACCTCCACTGGAGCGGCCTAGTGTAGCCGCTCCGGGCGACCCCGCCCCGCCCTCCTCTCCGCCAATGGCCACCGCCACCCAGCCTGGGTGCCTAGGGCCACAGCTGACAGCCGGGAGGACCCGCCCCACCACTCCCAAGAACCACTGCGCACGCCTGGTCCAGCCTGGTGGCCTGGTCAGCCTCCCGTGTCGCCCCACCCCTGCCCGAGGAATGTTGGGATGTGTAGTCCACCTTCCTGTGGGCTCCGGGACCGTAGTTCTAGGTGCGCCACGTGCAGGCCGAAGTCATTGCGCAATGACTTTAGCTCCGAGCGCCCGCTGCTGTGTTGCACTGCCCGGAAGGAGCAGGACCTACCCGGCTTGCAGAGGTGTCACCTATTCGCTCTCGGCGCAGGGAGAGCTGTCACTTAACGGTGGACAGCCCAGAGAGGCTAAAAGGTTGACTCTCAATTCACTCAGATTTGGGCTCGGTGCCTGCACCTGCTTTAACAGCGGCTGCCAAATTCATATAAATAGGACAGATCCAGGCACCCATGAAATTCTTAGCGAGCCTGGAACTTCTGAGGCCTTCTGTCCTTGACCTGAGTTTAATTGGTAGTGGAAGCTAAGAGTTCAGTCCCCAGCGCCTGGTGGCTCTGTCCTATAATCAAGGCATAAGGGAGCTGGAGGGAGGAGAACCTGAAATCCCGAGTAATTCTTGGTCACATAAACAATGGGAGGCCACCTTGTCACCGAGTCTCAAACACCCTTGCATTTAAGGATGGAAAATTTGTCTTCACAGGATCAAAACAGAAACTTGAACTGTCCCCTCACGCACTCAGGGCAGGACTTGCCTCTTCCCTGTCCTTGTCTGGGCTTCATTGATCTGTACGTGGTTGGTTTGTGTTTTGTGGTTTGAAGCCCACACTTTTCTCTTCCTTCACAAACATCTACCCAAGCGAAGCACAGGTCTCCGAAACGTGATAAAAGTTGTACATGGGGATGCTCATGCCAAGGCCACAGAAAACAGTAATGGAAGGACTGGCTGTAATCCTGACTCCAGGGAGGTGGAGGCCCAAGGACCAGCAGTGTGAAGTCATCCTAACCCTAAGCAATCTGAGTTTGAGGCTAACCTGGAGATGAAACCCTGTCACAAGACAAAAACAAGAACTGCCTCCAGCAGCTGTCCTCTGACCCTCCCTGCATGCACTCACTGGCACACAAAATCATCATGAGTAAATCATTTTAATTTACTTTCTGAGCCAGGGTCTCACAATGTAGCCCTGGCTGGTCTGAAATATGCTAAAGACCAGGCTAACCTCAGACTCAGAGATCTGCCTGCCTCGATTAAACTAAATTCCTGGATTAAAATAAATTTAAGTTAAAAATAGAATAAAGTTAATCCCAGTACTCTGGAGGCAGGAGCAGATTAGTGTCTGTTAGTTGAGGCCAGCCTGGTCTACCTAGCAAGTTAGATAGCCAGGGCCAAACAGTGAGATCATCTCAAAAAACAAAACAAAAACAAAAATAAGTCAAACTGAGAGTAGTGATACATGCCTTTAATGCCCAAATAGGCAGGTTTCTGTGAATTGGAGGCCATCCTGGTCTATATAGCCTATTGACACAGTGAGGCCCTGTCCTACAGAAAAAAAAAAGACAAAAAAAGAGGAGAGGGGGAAAAGAAGAGGAGGAGAAGAAGAAGGAGAAGAAAGAAGGAGAAGGAAGAAGGAGGAGGAGGAAGGAAGAGGAGGAGAAAGGAGGAGGAGGAGGAGAAAAATGAAGGACAGACCTAGAATTCTCAAACTGCTAACTGCTATGTGTTAATCTTGAATCCTGGTGTTGTCTAGGCATACCCTGAACCAGTGATCTCAGAGTTTCCAGGGCCAGGTAGGATGCAGCCCTGAGGATTTCAAAGTTCAATGGTGGTTACACGTGGTGCATAGTGGCTGTATTCTCGCTCCTGGGATGTGGAGGCAGGAAGATCAGAAGGTCATCGGTGGCTGATAATGAGTTCCAGACCAGCCTGGGATGCAGGAGATCCTGTGTCCCTCCCACGAGAAGGCAAACAGCTTGAGTGACTGGAGTCTTTGGCAGGATGACCGCACTCTAAGAAGGGAAGGTTTCTGGGGAGCTGGAGAGTGGTCCACAAATAAAACCTAGAACAGAAAAGAGGCTGTGGAGTAGGGGTCCCCAAGGGGTACAGGGAGCACCCCACTCAGCAGTGGACCCCACAGGGAGCACCCTGAGCAACAGTGGACCCCCATAGGGAGCACCCTGAGCAACAGTTGACCTCAGCACCCTGTTGGTGAGCCTAAGGCAGACATTTCCTAATAGGTGGACATGAGAAAGCACTGAGTGAGCGAGCCTTAGCCCTGCATGCTGCTAGCGCTGGTCAGTTTAAGTCTGAGTGCAGGAGTAGGTTTGAGTTTTGCTTCCAGAAGGTGTGGATATAAATGGATGGCAAAGAAGTGAAGTTTGTCTGTTAAGACTCAAACTTCAGAGTTGGATAGATTCTCCATGAAGTCAGAATTACTAGAAAACATGTCTTCCTTCCTTCCTTCCTTCCTTCCTTCCTTCCTCCCTTCCTTCCTTTCTCTTTTTCTCTCTTCTCTCCCTCTCACCCTCCCCTCTCTTCCTTTCTTCCTCTCTCCCTCCTTCTTCTCTTTTTCTGTTTGGTGGTGTTAGAGTTGGATCCTGTGTGTGGTAGGCAGGAATTCCATAACTTCGTTATGTAGCCACCCCTTTCTTATTTTGAGACACCTCTTGGTAAGTTGCCGGGGCCCTTCTGAGCTTACACTTGATATACAGTCCACTCTGACCTGGAATTCATGGACCCTTTGTTTCTGCCTCCAAAGTCCTAGGGTTACAGGCATGCACTAACACTCCAGGCTCTCAGCCCACTTAAAAATATTTGCTTATTTATATTTATTGTTTGGCCTTGGTGTTTGTATGCAGGTGTGCCCAAGGTTGTCATTGGGTGCTTTCCTATAAGCAGAGCCTTCCCGTCCTAGCAGTAGCTTCCATATGACCACACAGAGGCTTATATTAATTATAAACGCTCAGCCAATAGCTCAGACTTATTACTAACTAGCTCTTACTGTTTAACCTTTTTAACCTTTTTGTTATTGTTTTTCAAGACAGTTTCTTTGTGTAACAGCCCAGACTATCCTGGAGTCCTGGAACTCTCTTTGTAGACCAGGCTAGCCGCGAACTCACAGAGATCCGCCTGCCTCTGCCTTCCAAGTGCTGGAATTAAAGGTGTGCACCACTACTGCTCGGAATCTTAAACCATTTCTCTTAACCTATGTGCTGCCCCATGGGCTCGTGGCTTTTACCTCTATCCCATTTTGTGTGTCTGACTTATTCTCTGACTGGCTGGCAACTCCTTGAATTCCGCCCTTCCTCATGCGTCATTCTTAGTTTGGCTTTCCCACCTAATTTTATCATGTTCACCTATTGGCCAGTCAACTTGTTTATTAAACCAACCATGGTGACACATATTCACAGTGTACAGAAGGATTATTCCACAGCACGTTTCTCTGTAGATCTCTATTTTGTGTTCTGAGACAAAGTCTTTCACTTAACCTGGCGCTCACCAGTTTGGTTAAACTGATTGGCTGGCATGGTCTCTCGGTTCTTCCTGCCTCTTACTCTGAGGCATAAGGGTTACAGATCACGCTGCATATCTGGTTTCTTACGTGGGTATTTGGGATCTGAACCTGGATCCTCAGGCTTGCACAGCGACTGAGCAACTGACCCAGCCTTGTTTATTTATTTTTCCCTTAAGGTTTATTTTACCTTTGTGTGTATGTCTATGTGCATATGTCACTCATGTGCAGTGCCCACACAAGCCAGAAGAGGGTGTCAGGTCCCTGGAGCTGGGGTTAAAGGCAATCATAAACCGCGGACAAGGGCACTGGTAACTGAGCTATCCTGTGGAAGGGCAGCCGTGCTCTTAACCGCTGAGCATCTTCCAAACCCCTTGATTTTTCTTCTTTTGAGACAGGCTCTGCCTATGAAGCCTGGCTGGAGCTGTCTGGAGACTTTATCTATACCCTCAGTTCTGCACCTCCCACCACCATTTTTGCCTGAACACATCCCATGTAGTCTCTGAGGGTGATGTTTGTTCTTGGTCAGCAGGCTACAGGTACAATTGCCCATTTTCAAAATTGCTATTGACAGTCCAATGAGAAATTACAGACTTTTGGCTGAAGAAACAATGCTTGGGTCTGGAAACTTCTAAAGGGCTTTGATCTCCCTTCGTTAGAGGGTTACAGACATGATAGATGAAAGGTAGCTTTGTCGGATCACGAGAGCCAAATAGAGCTGCAGACACTTGACAGTAGGGTGTGCCAACTGTCATTTGTTCATGTCAAAATTCATTAACTTATCAAAGAGGCTTGTGTATTAGGTTTTATCCATTAACTGCACTTTTATTTGACAAGCCTCTTAAATTGGGATGCTAGGGACATTGTGTATCTATGTATGTGTCTGCCTGCCTTCCTATGTATTTATGTCGAGTCAGGCTCTTCATGTTCGGCTCTGGCTAGCTTGGAACATAACACAAAGATCCTCTTGGCCTTGAACTGTTGGCTATCCTCCTGCCTCTGTCTCCTGAGAACTGGAATTGCAGGTAAATGCTGCGACCATGACCTGCTGTTGTTTCTTTTCTTTGCTTGTGCTTTTATACAGTATTCTTGTCACTTTTGTGGTTTTATTCTTGGATCTGGAGATAGAAACCAGGATTTTATATCTTCTTGGATCTGGAGATAGAAGCCAGGATTTTATATTTTCTAGGATCTGGAGATAGAAGCCAGGATTTTACATCTTCTAGGAATGCAGTACCACTCACTGAGTTACAACCCTGAAGCCCTGAATTCTGTTCCCAGAATCTGTGCTGGGTGACTCACAACCACTTATACCTCTAGCTCCATGTGATCCAGTACCTCTTCTGGCTTCTGTGGATACACACACACACACACACACACACACACACACACACACGTTTTTTTTTTTTAGGGGAAAGTGAATGAGAAAAAGGGGGGAGGGGAGACTGGCCTGTGGGGATGGGAGTGGCAGAGGAGATGAGAGAGAGAGAGAGAGAGGGGGGGGGGGGGTGAGCAAGACTCTCTTTCTC